CCTCCCTAGTTTGAAGGTTCTCATTATCCATCCTGTCATTTTTCTAGCAGATGCGATTGATACAATGTTATGGTCCTTGAAGGTGAGATCCTCCGACATGATCACTCCCAGGTCTTTGACGTTGGTGTTTCGCTCTATTTTGTGGCCAGAATTTGTTTTGTACTCTGATGAAGATTTAATTTCCTCATGTTTACCATATCTGAGTAATTGAAATTTCTCATCGTTGAACTTCATATTGTTTTCTGCAGCCCACTGAAAGATTTGGTTGATGTCTGCCTGGAGCTTTGCAGTGTCTGCAATGGAAGACACTGAAGACACTCATTTGTGTCTTCAACTTCCAATTGTGGCCTCTTGTTTCTGTGTCCCCTCCCTGGAACATCCTGTCTTTGTCCACCTTGTCTATTCCACGCAGTATTTTATATGTCGTTATCATGTCTCCCCTGACCCTCCTGTCCTCCAGTGTCGTCAGGCCGATTTCCCTTAATCTTTCTTCATAGGACATTCCCCTTAGCTCTGGAACTAACCTTGTCGCAAACCTTTGTACTTCCTCTAGTTTCTTGACGTGCTTTATCAAGTGCGGGTTCCAAACAGGTGCTGCATACTCCAGTATGGGCCTGACATACACGGTGTACAGTGTCTTGAATGATTCCTTACTAAGGTATCGGAATGCTGTTCTCAGGTTTTGCCAGGCGCCCATATGCTGCAGCAGTTATCTGATTGATGTGTGCTTCCGGAGACATGCTCGGTGTTATACTCACCCCAAGATCTTTCTCTTGAGTGAGGTTTGCAGTCTTTGGCCACCTAGCCTATACTCTGTCTGTGGTCTTCTGTGCCCTTCCCCTATCTTCATGACTTTGCATTTGGCAGGATTAAATTCGAGAAGCCATTTGCTGGACCAGGTGTCCAGTCTGTCCAGGTCTCTTTGAAGTCCTGCCTGGTCTTCATCAGATTTAATTCTCCTCATTAACTTCACATCATCTGCAAACAGGGACACTTCTGAATCCAACCCTTCCGTCATGTCGTTCACATATACCAAAAATAGCACTGGTCCTAGGACCGACCCCTGTGGGACCCCGCTCGTCACAGGTGCCCACTGTGATACATCATTACGTACATGACTCGTTGTTGCTTCCCTGTCAGGTATTCTCTGATCCATTGCAGTGCCCTTCCTGTTATATGCGCCTGATGCTCTAGCTTCTGCACTAATCTCTTGTGAGGAACTGTGTCAAAGGCCTTCTTGCAGTCCAAGAAGATGCAATCAACCCACCCCTCTCTCTCTTGTCTTACTTCTGTTATTTTATCGTAAAACTCCAGAAGGTTTGTGACACAGGATTTGCCTTCCGTGAATCCGTGCTGGTTGGCATTTATACTCTGTTCCGTTCCAGGTGCTCCACCACTCTCCTCCTGACAATCTTCTCCATAATTTGCATACTATACACGTCAATGACACAGGTCTATAGTTTAGTGCCTCTTTTCTGTCTCCTTTTTTAAAAATGGGAACTACATTTGCCGTCTTCCATACCTCAGGTAGTTGCCCAGTTTCCAGGGATGTGTTGAAGATTGTGGCAAGTGGCATGCACAACATATCTGCTCCCTCTCTAAGGACCCACGGGAGATGTTGTCCGGTCCCATTGCCTTTGAGGTATCGATGTCCCTTAGCAGTTTCTTCACCTCCTCCTCATCTGTATGTATGTCGTCCAACACTTGTTGGTGTATTCCTTGCTGGTGTCCCCATCTGTTCTGTCCCCCCAGAGTCCTTCCTGTCTCTACTGTAAATACTTCCTTAAATCTCGTGTTGAGCTCCTCACATACCTCTTGATCGTTTCTTGTGAGTTCTCCACCTTCTTTCCTCAGCCTTATCACCTGGTCCTTGACTGTTGTCTTCCTCCTAATGTGGCTATACAACAGTTTCGGGTCACATTTGACTTTCGATGCTATGTCGTTTTCATACTGTCGCTGGGCCTCCCTCCTTATCTGTGCATACTCGTTTCTGGCTCTTCTACTAATCTCCTTGTTTTCCTGGGTCCTATGCCTCCTGTACCTTTTCCATTCTCTGTTGCACTTAGTTTTTGCCTCCCTACACCTTCGGGTAAACCAAGGACTCGTTTTGGTCTTCCTATTATTTCTGTTTCCCTTGGGAACAAAACTTTCCTCTGCCTCCTTGCACTTTGTTGCCACATATTCCATCATCTCGTTTACTGATTTTCCTACCATTTTCTCTGTCCCACTGAACCTCCTGCAGGAAGTTTCTCATACCTGTGTAGTCCCCCTTTTATAGTTTGGCCTGTCCCCTTCAGTTCCTGTTACCTTCTCCACTTGTAACTCTACTATATAGTCAAAACTCAGCACCACATGATCGCTAGCTCCAAGGGGCCTCTCGTAAGTGATGTTCTCAATGTCCGAACTGCTCAGGGTGAACACAAGATCCAGTTGCTGGCTCATCCTCCCCTCCTTCTTGTTGTGTCCCTCATGTTGTGCATGAGGTTTTCAATACCACATCATCACTTGCTTCCCATGTTTCGGGCCCCCATGTGGCCCCAGGTGACTTTATGTTATTTTTATGTGTGATAAGTACGATAGTTTGTCAGTAGTTTAGTAGTATTGTAGTAGTAGTGTGTAGTGATGTATAGTATGGTAGTAGTATGTGGGTAATAGTAGTAGTATAGGTGTTATGTTTTAGTTAGTTGTTTATATGTTTATTGTAGTTGTAGTGTAGTTCATTAGTTTGGTGTACAGTGGTAGAGTAGTTTGGTTTGTATTAGTTAGTAGTGAGTAGTGGTAGTAGTAGTAGTCAGTGTGTGGTATAGTGAGAGTTGTAGTGTTAGTTAGTAGTTAGTGTAGCTGCAGTGTAAGTTAGTGGATAGTAGTAGTAGTAGTGGTTAGTAGGTGAGTTCAGTGTAGCTGGTATAGTCAGTGTAGTGTAGTCTGTATTAGTAGTGTCAGTGGTAGTTTTAAGTAGATAGTAGTGGTTAGTAGTGTTGTGGATTGCTCGGTGTTGTATGTTATTTGTATTGGTATTAGTAGTTAGTAGTGTAGTAGTAGTAGTAGTGGTAGTGGTAGTAGTAGTAGTAGTAGTAGTAGTGTAGTGGTAGTATAGTAGTGGTAGTGTAGTAGTAGTAGTAGTAGTAGTAGTGGGTAGTGGTAGTAGTAGTAGTAGTAGTAGTAGTGGTGTAGTAGTAGTAGTAGTGGTAGTGGTAGTGTAGTAGTAGTGTAGTAGTAGTAGTGTAGTAGGTATGGTAGTAGTAGTGGTAGTGGTAGTAGTAGTAGTAGTGTAGTAGTGGTAGTGTAGTAGTAGTAGTGGTTAGTAGGTAGTGTAGTGGTGATGTAGTAGTTGTTAGTAGTGTAGTAGTAGTGTAGTAGTTGGTAGTAGTAGTAGTTGGTAGTGGTAGTAGTAGTAGTTAGTAGGTAGTGGTAGTAGTAGTATTGTGGTAGTAGTAGTGTAGTGGTAGTAGTATAGTAGTGTGTAGTGGTAGTAGTAGTGGTAGTGTAGTAGTAGTGGTAGTGGTAGTAGTAGTGTAGTGTAGTAGTAGTGGTAGTAGTAGTAGTAGTGGTAGTGTGTAGGTTGTGTAGTTGGTGGTAGTAGTGAGTAGTTGGTGGTAGTTAGTAGTAGTGGTAGTAGTGGTTTAGTGGTAGTAGTTGTGGTAGTGGTGTTAGTAGGTGAGTAGGTAGTATAGTGGTAGTAGTGTGGTAGTATGGTAGTGGTGGTAGTAGTGGTGTAGTGTGGAGTAGTGGTGTGTTAGTAGTGGTTTGGGTAGTAGTGTAGTAGTGGTGTAGTGTAGTATTTGTGGTAGTATAGTGGTAGTGGTGGTGTAGTAGTAGTAGTAGTGGTAGTAGTAGTGGTATGTAGTGGTTAGTAGTAGTGGTAGTAGTGGTAGTAGTAGTGGTAGTAGTTAGTAGTAGTGTGGTAGTAGTAGTAGTAGTGGTAGTAGTAGTAGTAGTTAGTGGTAGTAGTAGTGGTAGTGGTAGTAGTGTAGTTAGTAGTGGTAGTAGTAGTGGTAGTAGTAGTAGTAGTGGTAGTAGTAGTGGTAGTAGTGGTAGTAGTGGTAGTAGTAGTGGTAGTAGTGGTAGTAGTGGTAGTAGTGGTAGGGGTGGTAGTAGTTGGTAGTTAGTGGTAGTAGTGGTAGTAGTAGTGGTGAGTATGGTAGTATGTAGTGGTAGTAGTAGTGGTAGTAGTAGTAGTAGTGGTAGTAGTAGTGGTAGTAGTGGTAGTAGTGGTAGTAGTAGTGGTAGTAGTGGTAGTAGTAGTCGTAGTAGTGGTAGTAGTGGTAGTAGTGGTAGTAGTAGTGGTAGTAGTGGTAGTAGTAGTGGTAGTAGTGGTAGTAGTAGTGGTAGTAGTAGTAATTAAAGAGAGTGACGAACATGATAGAGAAAATATAGATAATGATGACATTAAAATATAACAAACAGTACTAGATGTTAAAATATTCAAATTATATAATTACTACAGCTACTAACAAAATCTTAGTTCTCGTAAAGATGTCGTAAATGTAATTATTTGTTACTCTCTTATATTAATTAATCCATCATGTCCATAGAGTATTTTATTGCGTAATTTAATTGTGATGTTGATGTTGTAATTAGTGCTGGATGTGACAATGTTCCAGTAACTTTGTCTTATATTCAGAAGGTATGTGTGAGAAACTTTAAAAGTTAAACATGGTTAAATTTCTTTGGTAATTTTGCATGGAAGGATGTGTGTAATATTTAGATGGAATTAAAGTTTTGGGAAAAATTTCTAGAATCAATTTATAACTGATGGAAAATTTAACATAAGAGAATTCTACATAATGGCATCTAGTTTATTAATATGTATTATAAAAACTTTAAAAATATATATTAGTTGAAGTTTGTTTATTAACCCTACACACAAAGATAAAACAAAATTTTTGCCAAGAGAAAATTTAATACCAAAACAATTTCCTATTTTTAATGTAACCTGTAATTTTTTTAACGAGAAATTTTGCTGAAAACTGGTGTGCGCATGCGCGAGTGATAACATTGGAACGTGAGGGCGGCGGGCGAGGCCATTACTGACACACCATCACAACTACTATCATGTCTACTGAGTCAAAACCCAAGAAAATAGATGACCTGCGAGTGGTGGACCTGCGGGCGGAGCTGGAGAAGAGAGGACTGGACAAGACTGGCGTCAAGGCCACCCTCACCGAGCGCCTCAGGAAGGTAAAAGTGGCGAAAATGTGGATTTTCTTTTTCAAACTTGAGCAAAATGGCGTCGTCCGCCATGATGGCTGTGGCGGTGGATGTTTTTGGTGGTAATTCCGTCTTGTTGGCGCTGAGTTGTGCCGTCTGGTGGGGGATTAAACCAGCAGGTGCACCTCTACGTGGGTTTATATGGTTTGAGGATAATGACAGTTGTTTTAGGAGTTAAAATATTACGACACATCTGACCCTTTTTTTTCCGGGAATTTTTGATGCCGGTGACGGCTCTTGATCCAAGGTGTCAGCGCTGGTGTTTCAGGGATTAAAACCTCGTTCTCCGGACCGCAGCGACCTCCCCTGTGGGTTTACCGCTTCCCCGCTGCATAAATCTTTAAACTGCGTAATAAAGTTTTCTCTTTATTTTACATCTTAAATTAACATATTTAACACAATATTTAACAATATGGTCGTTATAACGTCTTTTATCACGACCATAAGTCAATTAAAACTTTTAAATATCAAACTCTTGGGGGAATAAATTGTCCCTTGTGGGTTTAGCGATTTTTTGTTTTCCTTTGTGGGTTTAACGCTTTTTTCTCCCTTGTGGGTTTAACGCTTTTTTGTTCTCCCTTGTGGGTTTAACGCTTTTTGCTTCTCCCTTGTGGGTTTAGCGCTTTTTTGTTCTCCCTTGTGGGTTTAGCGCTTTTGGGTTCTCCCTTGTGGGTTTAGCGCTTTTGGGTTCTCCCTTGTGGGTTTAGCGCTTTTGGGTTCTCCCTTGTGGGTTTAGCGCTTTTGGGTTCTCCCTTGTGGGTTTAGTGCTTTTTGGTTCTCCCTTGTGGGTTTAGCGCTTTTTGGTTGTCCCCTGTGGGTTTAGCGCTTTTTGGTTGTCAATGTGATGGTCGTTATTGCCAGGTGGTCGTGTTCACGTGGGAGGCGCGCTAAACCCGTAGGGGGGTCTGCCTCGTGGGGGGGGTAGTTAGGGCTTGATCCAGGGGGTTGGAGCACGTTGGTCCCGGTTCCTCGGATCAAGAGCCTGTCTGTACGTTTGTGATGTGGACGGGGGAGCGCCAGACCCTCATGGGCCGATCAGCACCTGGGTTGGGGGGGCGGGGACGGTTTGATCCAGTTCCTCGGATCAGGAGCCTCGCCAGCATCAGGGGGGGAATTACCAGGTCAGGACGTGATGTATGTCGTGGGAGAGCGCTAAACCCGCATGGGTGGTGCTGCAGGATGGTTTGATCCAAGGCTGCTCCAGTTCCTTGGAACAAAAGCTCTTCTGAGGGGTTGACCCGGTCGGGACCCGCCGGGTATTATGGCACGTGCTTGGGGGGGTGCTAAACCTGTATGGGCTGTGCAGTAGGGGAGGGGGGGTGGAATGGTTCCATCAGCTTGGGGGGGGGGACTGATTACCTCAAACTTCTGGTCTTCAGTCTAGTCTGTAATGGACTGATGAAGCTGCCGGTGCGGCCAGACATTTCCCGAGTAGACTCGACCCTCAGGGAAGGTCCCTCGGTGCTGGTCAGGGGCTCTTGATCTAGGGGATTGGATCTGTGCTCCGGTTCCCTGGAGTAACCCTGAATACCTCCCCCCCCACAGGCACAGCGTAGTCCTACGGGTTTAGTGCCCCGTCTTCATTATAATAATGGACACGTCTAATTTATCACATTATATCCATAATAAAGTTAATCGACCGAACTTAATGTAGATCTGTGAAATAATCGTTTTTAAATTCTTGATATAAACTCGTCTCTGCTCGACCTTATTACACAACACTGCTGTCGTGGCTCTAATTTCTCTATACTCGCACTCTTTGACCCTTAAACTGTCCAAACGTAAAACTACGTTCACGTGCGTAGCGCTCCGAACGTAGATCCACTTTTGTGTTTACGTGCTCTCAAGTGGGTAAAATAAACGTCGGAGCGCTACGCACGGGAACGCAGATCTACGTTTGGTCAGGATTAAGGATTAAGATTCAGGATACAGTGGACCCCCGCATAGCGACTTTAATCCGTGCAAGAGGGCTCATTGTTATGCGAAATGATCGGTATGCGAATGAATTTTCCCCACAAGAAATAATGGAAATCAAATTAATCCGTGCAAGACACCCAAAAGTATGAAAAAAAAAATTTTTACCACATGAAATGTTAATTTTAATACACACAAACTGAAAAAGGCATGCACACTTACATGACACTTACTTTTATTGAAGATCTGGTGATTGATGGGATGGGAGGAGGAGTGTTAGTGTTTAGAAGGGGAATCCCCTTCCATTAGGACTTGAGGTGTCAAGTCCTTTTCCGGGGTTGCTTCCCTTCTTTTAATGCCACTAGGACCAGCTTCAGAGTCACTGGACTTCTGTCGCACAACATATCTGTCCATAGTGGCCTGTACCTCTCGTTCCTTTATGACTTCCCTAAAGTGTTTCACAACATTGTCAGTGTAATAATCACCAGCACGGCTTGCAATAGCTGTCTGAGGGTGATTTTCATCCATGAAGGTTAGCACTTCAAGCCACTTGGCACAATTTCCTTAATCTTTGTAGTAGGCAATTTCTTCAATTTCTCTCTCCCCTCCTTCGAACCAGTTTCCTCAGGTCTGGCCTCTTGCTATTGAAGTTGATCTATCAGCTCATCAGTGGTTAGTTCTTCACTGTCCTCCTCCACCAACTCTTCCACATCATCCCCACTAACCTCCAACCCCAAGGACTTTCCCAATGCCACAATGGATTCCTCAACTGGCATAGGATTCTCAGGGTTAGCCCCAAACCCTTCAAAATCCCTTTTGTCTACACATTCTGGCCACAGTTTCTTTCAAGCAGAGTTCAAGGTCCTCTTAGTCACTCCCTCCCAAGCCTTACCTATAAGGTTTACACAATTGAGGATAATTAAAGTGCTCTCTCCAAAACTCTCTTAGTCAGTTGGTTCTGAGGTCACTACAAAGCACCTTTCAAACAGAGCTTTTGTGTTCAGTTTTTTGAAGTTTGCAATAACCTGCTGGTCCATGGGCTGCAGGAGAGGAGTGGTATTAGGAGGCAAAAACTTCACCTTAATGAATTTCATGTCCCCATAAAGTCGCTCTGCCACGTCTGTAGTGTCTATGTACTCCTTGAATTCCTGCACATATTTTTTCAGCTGCTTTGTGGTCCAAACTGGCAGCCTCACCATGCCTTATCACACTATGTATGCCACTATGCTTAAATCTCTCAAACCAACCTTTGCTGGCCTTAAATTCACTCACATCATCACTAGTTGCAGGCATTTTTTTAATTAAATCCTCATGCAACTTCCTAGCCTTTTCGCTTATGATCGCTTGAGAGACGCTATCTCCTGCTAGCTGTTGTTCATTTATCCACACCAATAAGAGTCTCTCAACATCTTCCATCACTTGCGATCTCTGTTTCGAAAACAGTTAAACCTTTGGCAAGAACAGCTTCCTTGATTGCCTTTCTGTTGCCCACAATAGTAGCGATGGTTGATTTGGGTTTCTTGTACAACCTGGCCAGGTTGGCGACACGCACTCCACTTTCATACTTATCAATGATCTTTCTTCATCTCTATAGTAATTCTCACCCTTATTGCTGTGGGGTTGGCACTAGAAGCTTTCTTGGGGCCCATGGTCACTTATTTTGCAGATAAAATCACCAAAAACACTAATAATACGAAATGTTCCGATTGTATGCTTGGATGTTACCGCGGAGGCTGGCTGGTAAACAATGCCACCGGCGGCACATGTGAGGCTGGCTAAGGGCGCACATTGGACGCGTCTCGGACGAGGAGCGGTGAGCGGGTTTTTGAGCGGTATGCGAGGCAAAATTTTTGTGATAAAAGCGAGCGGTATGCGGATTGAACGTTATGCGATGCGTACAGTATGCGGGGGTCCACTGTAATTCTAGTTAGAAGTGTGTATAATGATGGTATGTAGCCCCTGGACTGGGGAGGACTTGAACCTATGGCAAGTCCCAAAACTCGCAGGCCAGTGTGTTAACCACTAAGTAAACTCCCAGGCAGTCAGGATAAGCACCTAAGCAATCTGAATAATTTGATAAATAAGCAAAGCGATTAGGAGGCCCAGCCTAGGATCCATTTTAAAGGACACCCGTGATAATAAGTCAGTCTGACTTTTTTGGGTCATCTCAGGTTGTCTACACATACGCTGCTATGTATCATAATCTATGTAACTGTATTTGTGTATACCTGAATAAACTTAGGAACAACCCCCCCCCCCATATCCTCAGGGAATACCTTCTATGGATCTGCGGTGGATACCGAAACTGTAGATAGTAGCAAACCGTATGTAGTGTCTATACACGCCCCTCTTTAAATTTAATTGACAATTCTCCGCTTACTGTTGATTTGTCACTTGACTGACGGTCAGCACTTGGCAGCTTCTCTCAGGCTCTGAACCACCACCACCATCACTACTTTTGCACTATGAGGCCATTATTACACAAAATTAGGGTTATTTTCTAGCCAGGGTGAACCGTGGATACCGAACCTGCGGGTATGGGGGTCCTACTGTACTAACAAGGTTGCTACGGTCACCATGGGTTACAGAAGTGTTAAAAATGATTTGTTAAACATAACTAAGTCTTCAACTCTTAAACTGTCCAAACGTAGATCTACGTTCGGAGCGCAACGCGAGCGAACGTACATCTACGTTTGGACAGTTTAACGGTTAAATGTATTTTAGACTTGATTTTGTTTTGAAATTTGGTTGTTTTCAGAAGGATCGGTTGACAATTCACAACTTTAGGTCCCCTGCAATGATTAATCATAACTTGATACAAATTGCACCTTTTTTTCAGGCCCTTGAAGACGATGGACATGACGCAGACGAGTATGAATTTGAGAACACGCTACCCAGTACCCCAGTAAAGTCTAACCGCAGTAAGTAATCGCAGAACACACTACCCAGTACCCCAGTAAATTTTTAACCGCAGTAAGTAATCACAGAACACTACCCAGTACCCCAGTAAATTCTTAACCGCAGTAAGTAATCAAAGAACACACTACCCAGTACCCCAGTAAATTTTTAACCGCAGTAAGTAATCACAGAACACTACCCAGTACCCCAGTAAATTCTTAACCGCAGTAAGTAATCAAAGAACACACTACCCAGTACCCCAGTAAATTTTTAACCGCAGTAAGTAATCACAGAACACTACCCAGTACCCCAGTAAATTCTTAACCGCAGTAAGTAATCAAAGAACACACTACCCAGTACCCCAGTAAATTTTTAACCGCAGTAAGTAATCACAGAACACTACCCAGTACCCCAGTAAATTCTTAACCGCAGTAAGTAATCAAAGAACACACTACCCAGTACTCCAGTAAATTCTTAACCGCAGTAAGTAATCAAAGAACACACTACCCAGTACTCCAGTAAATTCTTAACCGCAGTAAGTAATCAAAGAACACACTACCCAGTACTCCATTCTGTGGGAACCAAATAATGGGATTTTATTGGTCTTATCTCAACCATATAAAAAAAAAAATTAGAATAGATTATCACGTTCTGTTTTGAAGTCAAACTGGTACCTAATAGCACTGGTGGTGAGGATTTTCCGTGGTCTGGTGAAGTGTGTGGCCACCAAGGTCACACACTGACGTCTGTGGTTCAATCCCCGGTACGGGTGAAAACATTATGATGTTTTCTTAAGACGCCTGCTCTCTGTTCACCTAGCAGTAAGTAGGTACCAGGGTATTAGTTTACTGGTGAAATGCATCCTGGGGACAAAATTGACCTAATTTGCAGGAAATGTTCTACATAACAAAGGGCTTTCTGTATAAAACATTGATATCGGCTATGGTCTATATACCTTGTACATATACTTGTAGAAATAGATTATTTGCATTATTCATTGGGCATCTGTAATCATAAATAGGTTAAGTACCCTAGATCTAGGGTATTGTTTACTTGTATGCATCACCGTACCCACTTGATAGTTTAATTTTAATTGCAGAATCCGGAGATGGTGATGAAGAAATGGCCAATCACATTAATGGAGACTCTGGAAATGCCAAGGATGACGATAAGGATGATTATCAGGAGGAGGAACTGGAGGATGAAGAGGACCAGGAAGAAGTTAATGATAAAGAATCTCAGGAAGCAGCAGACACTAAGGAAGAGAAGGGCAAGGAACAAGAGAAAGATGCTACACTGGATGCCAAAGGTGAGAATGGGAACATTGAAGGCACCCCGAGGAGGAAGGTAAGGCTGTGGAGCTTGAGGCCAACGCACAACACACGGCAGGTACAGATGGTCCCCCGACTTATGACGCTTGATTTTGTGAAGAACAGACACGATGAGATTCTTCAAGGCCAGAAGAGTATTTGTTGCAGAGGTTATTGTGGTTATGTGAGCTGCTGGTGATGTATCTGGTGCTGTGTTCACACCTAGGTCATGTTTTGTGGCTCACGGCCTGTCTCCAAGGTCTCTCAGGGGTGGGAACTCCTTTCCATGTTGGAAGGCTACAGTCAAAGAAATTTTGATTAGATATACTGTTAAATGTCAATTCTTTTGTAAAAAGTTTGTGACGTCTAAACTGTCGTACGAGCACCTCTGCAAGGAGTGAATGTTGGTGAAAGGATTTCTTTTTTTGGGTCACCCTGCCTCGGTGAGCGACAGCAGACGTTAAAAAAAAAGACTGATTCATACAGAACGCCCCACTTTATGCCCTAGAAGGTCGCAGGTTCCCCACACCTGGTCTGTGCTCGGTGTCCTGTCTTGTGCTTGACTCATTCATAATCTTGCATTTGCAGGGTTGAATTCGACCATTTATCTATTTTTCAGATTTATTTGGAGTCTTTCCCTGTCCACATGTTTCTTCAGGAGACTGATGTGTATGATTGTCCCATCTGGAAAGTCATTTACATAAACCAGCAACATTTCTGATGATTGTGGAGCCCAGCTGTTTTACTCTATTCCGACACCCCTTAATTTTCCCAAGATACTCTCTGATCCACTGGAGTCCATTCTGTTCTTCCTTCCTGCACCTCAAGTTGAGTTACTTTCAGGTCCAGTATCAAGTGATTTCTTAGTCTGTATAAAAAAAATATGCAGTCTACCCCTCCCTCTCTCCCTCTCTCTCGTCTGTTGCACTGTCACACTTGCAACAGGTTGGTCAGACAGGATTTACCATCTTTGGTTTGTGCTGATTCCACAAATAACTCTCACAGCTTAATTCATTCCAGAAGGCTGTTCGAGTGCCACTCCGTTTGAGTATCGAATAAGTTCTTTCCAACCAATTTTCTGTTTGGTTGGCTGTTGTTGCTAATCTTCGTAGGCCCCATGATGACTTGTTTATACAAATACAAAAAATACCAAAAAATGTGAAGAAACGCGAAATAGTTTACAGCTGAGGTCTGGCAGGTCATATTTGTTTGGTAGTGCTGAGCTTTGTTCTAGTAGGAAGCTGCTGATATAGATTCCATTGTACAGTGGACCCCCAGCTTAGCATATTAATTCATTCCAGAAGTATGTTCAGGTGCCATTACTGAACGAATTTGTTCCCATAAGGAATATTGTGAATTAGATTAGGCCATTTCAGACCCCCAAACATACATGTACAAACACACTTACATAAATACTTACATAATTGGTCGCATTGGGAGCTGATCATAAAGCGGGAGTCCACTGTATTTCGGTCCAACTTGGATCACCTACGTAAATCCATGGTCAGTCCATGGACTGACCACATCGACTCAAGGCTGAGGGACTGATTACCACATTCACCTCCTGTTCAAGTTTCTCCTTTGTATAGACTGATGAAGCCACTGTGTGGCAAAAAGTTTCCTCAATAAAGATACCCAAGAGTTGCACATGTGTCTAATTCAACATGTCAGTTCTCTGAACCATTCATCTACAATACTGTAATTGGTCCAAGTCAGACAAACTTCTCTTTTCTGTGTGTGGGTTATTTGTGCGTTGTTCAGTCATGGAACATTTTGTTCTTTTTGTGCTGGTTGTTTATGCAAGAATCTCTCGAGTATTCTAGCACTTGTGATTATCATCTCCATTACCTTTCAAGGTATACATATCAGAGTAGCTTGTCTGTAGTTCAACACTTCCTATCCGTTCTTGACTACATTTGCTCCTGTCCAGATCTTTGGCAACTAACCCATGTCCATTGATTTCTTAGGTGTTAGTGGTTCAGACAGTGCTTCTCGGTGAATGTAATATGTCCATACCACTATACCACAAAAAGAGAGGTTAAGAGAGTGGTGAAGCAATGTAAAAAGAGCAAATGAGAGAGTGGGTGAGATGTTATCAACAAATTTTGTTGAAAATATGAAAGTTTTGGAGTGAGATTAACAAGTTAAGGAAGCCTAGAGAACAAATGGATTTGTCAGTTAAAAATAGGAGAGGAGAGTTATTAAATGGAGAGTTAGAGGTATTGGGAAGATGGAGGGAATATTTTGAGGAATTGTTAAATGTTGTTGAAGATAGGGAAGCTGTGATTTCGTGTATAGGGCAAGGAGGAATAACATCTTGTAGGAGTGAGGAAGAGCCAGTTGTGAGTGGGGGGGGAAGTTCGTGAGGCAGTAGGTAAAATGAAAGGGGGTAAGGCAGCCGGGATTGATGGGATAAAGATAGAAATGTTAAAAGCAGGTGGGGATACAGCTTTGGAGTGGTTGGTGCAATTATTTAATAAATGTATGGAAGAGGGTAAGGTACCTAGGGATTGGCAGAGAACGTGCATCGTTCCTTTGTATAAAGGCAAAGGGGACAAAAAAGTGCAAAAATTATAGGGGGATAAGTCTGTTGAGTATACCTGGTAAAGTGTATGGTAGTTATTATTGAAAGAAATAAGAGTAAGACTGAGAATAGGATAGCAGATGAACAAGGAGGCTTTAGGAAAGGTAGGGGGTGTGTGGACCAGGTGTTTACAGTGAAACATGTAAGTGAACAGTATTTAAATAAGGCTAAAGAGGTCTTTGTGGCATTTATGGATTTAGAAAAGGCGTATGACGGTGGATACCTGGAGAGAGTTCCGGAGGTCAACACCCCCGCGGCGTTGGTGGTGTATGGCGCGGTGTATGGTGTAGGAGGTAGGTTACTGAAAGCAGTGAAGAGTTTTTACGAGGATAGTGAGGCTCAAGTTACAGTATGTAGGAAAGGGAAATTATTTCCCAGTAAAAGTAGGCCTTAGACAAGGATGTGTGATGTCACCGTAGTTGTTTAATATATTTATAGATGGGGTTGTAAGAGAAGTAAATGCGAGGGTCTTGGCAAGAGGCGTGGAGTTAAAAGATAAAGAATCACACATAAAGTGGGAGTTGTCACAGTTGCTCTTTGCCGATGACACTGTGCTCTTGGGAGATTCTGAAGAGAAGTTGCAGAGATTGGTGGATGAATTTGGTAGGGTGTGCAAAAGAAGAAAATTAAAGGTGAATACAGGAAAGAGTAAGGTTATGAGGATAACAAAAAGATTAGGTGATGAAAGATTGAATATCAGATTGGAGGGAGAGAGTATGGAGGAGGTGAATGTATTCAGATATTTGGGAGTGGACGTGTCAGCGGATGGGTCTATGAAAGATGAGGTGAATCATAGAATTGATGAGGGGAAAAGGGTGAGCGGTGCACTTAGGAGTCTGTGGAGACAAAGAACCTTGTCCTTGGAGGCAAAGAGGGGAATGTAAGAGAGTATAGTTTTTCCAACGCTCTTATATGGGTGTGAAGCATGGGTGATGAATGTTGCAGCGAGGAGAAGGCTGGAGGCAGTGGAGATGTCATGTCTGAGGGCAATGTGTGGTGTGAATATAATGCAGAGAATTCGTAGTTTGGAAGTTAGGAGGAGGTGCGGGATTACCAAAACTGTTGTCCAGAGGGCTGAGGAAGGGTTGTTGAGGTGGTTCGGACATGTAGAGAGAATGGAGCGAAACAGTGACTTCAAGAGTGTATCAGTCTGTAGTGGAAGGAAGGCGGGGTAGGGGACGGCCTAGGAAAGGTTGGAGGGAGGGGGTAAAGGAGGTTTTGTGTTCGAGGGGCTTGGATTTCCAGCGGGCATGCGTGAGCGTGTTTGATAGGAGTGAATGGAGACAAATTGTTTTTAATACTTGACGTGCTGTTGGAGTGTGAGCAAAGTAACATTTATGAAGGGGTTCAGGGAAACCGGCAGGCCGGATTTGAGTCCTGGAGATGGTAAGTACAGTGCCTGCACTCTGAAGGAGGGGTGTTAATGTTGCAGTTTAAAAACTGTAGTGTAAAGCACCCTTCTGGCAAGACAGTGATGGAGTGAATGATGGTGAAAGTTTTTCTTTTTCGGGCCACCCTGCCTTGGTGGGAATCGGCCAGTGTGATAATAATAATAAAAAACCACTATACTCTCCTAATTCAGCTTTCCTGTACAATATTTGTCGGATTGTAATCTAGTTTGTGGCCATTTCAATATATCGATAAAGGATATACCATTGTTTTCATGTATTTAACCCTGGGGTTATGTGGTGCATTTCCACCAAGGTACGGTGACGCAAGAAAAACTTTCATCACTCACGCCATCACTGTCCTGCCAGAGGTGTGCCAGTAGTGCATTTCAAAACTGCAAATATCCTCACTCCTTCAGAGTGGAGTTTTTTTTTTATATAAACTTTCTAGTGTTTTATGGTAGATTGTAAATGAGAACCTTGAAGACCCTGGGACTTGCTTGTCTGCATTTCAATTACATTATAATCAATTGTTTGGACTTGCACGTTTGCGTGAGTTATGATCACTTGGTGTTTTCGTTTTAGGTAAACTGAAAAGTGATGAGGAAGCAGGCCATGGTGATGAGGACGATGTACGCAACATAGAAGATGACTCCATTAACCTCATGCTGGAAGACGAAGACAAAATGCTCGAAGATGAAATGACTTTCAATGACTCGGAACGTATGGACCAGGTAGCTACAGAATTTTTACCCATGTAAATTATACAAGCATTTCCTGAAGCCTTGTTACCCAGGGAAAGTGGTAAAATAATTGTGTTTTTGTATAGGTAAATTTTGTACATCGGTGTTCAACTTAGAACGGGGTTACGTTCTGACGAACCCATTGTAAATTAACCCCTTCAGGGTCCAAGGCCCAAATCTGAAGTGGTGCCCCAGTGTCCAAGAATTTAAAAAAAAAAAAAATTTGTTCTTTTTTCTTTTGAAATGGTAGAGAATCTTTTCGTGAAGGTAATAAAACAAAAAGTATGAAATTTGATGGAAAATTGACTAAATTATGTTCTTGCGAATTTTGATGTGTCAGCGATATTTACTAATCGGCGATTTTGCCGACTTTGACTCCCATTTTAGGCCAATTACATTATTCCAGTCAACCAAATTCTTAGCTATTTCACTAGTATTACTTCTATTCTATCGATTGAGCACAAGAAATCGCCAAGTCAACTGTTTCAACTACAAATTAAAGTGATCGGAAATTGTTAATTTGGCCAATTTAACACAAAGTTCAAAATATTCCAATTTCAAAATAGGGTCCAGAATAAACAATGTAGGTATTCCTGGAACTAAACTAACATTTCCTCTGTTTATTAGTTACGTTTTGGGGCTTTACAAATAAATTCCACTTTGATTTTTTATTCACATAATGAATTTTTATTCACACCAAAAAATAGAAGATTTACTGTTATGCAATACTGTAATAATTGTATAAATATCATCACCATATTTGTGAATGCATATTAGACCCACCAGCTGGCGTGTATTAGACGTGTGAGGTCGTTTGTTTACTCTTGAATATCGGCAAAAATTTAACATTTCTGCTACTTTGAGCTCAGTTTCAAGCCATTTCCAGTGCTAAAACCAATCAAAATCATCTCTATTTCTGTAATATGTCTTCCATTCTATCAAATGAGACCAAGAAATCGCAAATACATCTATAAAAAACATACGAAAAAACACTGCAAAGTCGTTGTTTTAATTGAAAAATCATTATTTCAGTTTTTTTTTCTCATTATACACAGTGTGCTGCAGGATCTGTTTTATGTGGTGCACACATACCACATAGATGTATTCTCTCATATCTAGGCCCAAATGTACCACTCGGTTTATCAGAGTGAGCTGAGCTCATGACGTAGATCTACGGTTTGGACCCTGAACGTGAAGCCGTAGATCTAAGGGACGGACCCTGAAAGGGTTAACCCTTTCAGGGTCGGCAGGGTCTCTCCTAAACTTGCTCTGTCAGAAATTTTTCGGGGGAAAAAAATTGTTTTCTTATGAAATGATAGGGAATCTTTTCCTGATCATGACGACACCAAAAGTGTGAAATTTGATGGAAAACTTACGGAGTTATGCTCTTGCGAAGTTAGTGGTCTCGACAGTGTTTACGCATCGGCAATTTCGCCCACTTTGAGCCCTATTTTCGGCCAATTTCAATGTACCAGTCGACAAAAATAGCAACTTTTGCTAGAACTCCATTTTTTCTATCGAATGAGTACAAGAAACCACCCATTTACTGATTTCCCCTTTCCAATAACTTGGTCAGAAATTGACAATTTTGCCAATTTCACACAAATTTCAAAAGATGCCAATTTCCAAATAGGGTACAGAATAAACAAGACAGACATATCTGGCACTAAAATAACATTTCCTCTGTTCATAATTCATGTCCCCAGGCCTCTTGTTACATTTATTTTGCTTTCCACTTTGAATTTTTATTCTCACAAAAAAAATAGAAGATTTGATATGCAGACTACTGCATTATTGTAGAAATGGTATAAGTAGTATCAGGGCACTTGTGAAAGAATATTAGACTCGCCAGTTGACGTGTATTGGACGCATGGCATGATTTGTTTACCTCTGAACTTCGGCAAAAAATTGAACATTTCTGCTACTTTGAGCTCATTTTCAAGGTACTTTTCATTGGGAAACCAATCAAAATCATCTCGATTTCCATAATATGTCTTCCATTCTATAAAATGAGACCAGAACTAGAATACAACCATAAATAGCATACGAAAATACACTGCAAAGTCACTGTTTTAAACCAAGAACAGGGTCGGAGTTTTTTTTTTTTTTTTTTCCCCCCATTGTGTACTGTGCTGCAGCATTTTTTTTATGCTGCGCACATAGACCCATTCTTTCATATGTAGGCCTACCAGCTTTCTATTGCTAGATTTGAAGGTGCTAGAATTTATGCGTACTAGTAGTGCACCAACCCTGGTGTGCAAGCTAGCTGTACTAGTACGGCGCCAACCCTGAAAGGGTTAACCACAAATGTGATAAATGTGTAAATAAATTGCTGTAACTGAATAAGTAGATAAATAATTGAAAGTAAATAACTGAACACAAGTTTAGCCTCCCTGCCTCGGTGGGAGACGGCAGACATGTTGAAAAAAAAATATATCCAATGAATAATGTAATGTCCAGCACAGTACAAAAGTTTTACAGTGCACTCTTGAAGGGTATGATTTGAGGACAGTCTTTCACCTAGGAAATGAAATACCTAAATACCAGTCTTCAACTACTGTGTGTGCATCGCTATCGCACCTTTGTAAAGTCAGAAGAGAGTCGAACCATCGTAAAGTGAGAAGCATGTGTGCAGCCCAATGTTGAATCGTTTGCAAAATTCAGTTTGTGATGCCTCAGAACTTGTCTGGTAGTAATATTGAATTCTAGCAAACATGTACGTTCATTTCTCACAACTACAATTCCATCTTGTTTCAAAAACCTAAACTTGGATTGTTTGCTTGTATGACAGTTCCTTCTGATCCCTGTAGACTTTGGTTGGGCTTCAAAAAGGTGTCACTAAGGTAGGGCAAGTACATGCACGTTGCTGACCTGGAAAGTCATTTTTTATTCCATTGCAATGTTACTGCTCTGTTGTTGCTGCCACTTCCAGTATAAGTCACTTTGTAATAATCCAGGTAGAAGAGGTTTTGTGTGTAAAGGGCTTGGACATGCAGCAGGCATTTGTGAGCATGTTAGGATTGAATGGGGACAAATGGTTTTTGGGAGCTGACAAGCTGTTGGAGTGTGAGCAGGTTAATATTTTGTGAAGGGATTTGGGGGAATCAGTAAGCTGGCCCAGAGTCCTGGAAATGGGAAGTACAATGCCTTCACTTTAAAGGATGGGTTGAGGATATTGGCAGTTTGAAGGGACTTCTAAACTGTCGTGTCTGAGTGCCTCTGCAACGACAGTAATTATGTATGAGTGAGGTGAAAGTGTTGAATGATGAAAGTATTTCTGGGAATTTTCTTTTTGGGTCACCCTGCCTCAGTGGGAGACAACCAACGTGTTAAAAAAAGTTGACTTGTGGGACAAAAGTGGAGCTTTTCACATTTCCCATGAAAAAAAATGGAAAAATAGGTAATTAAGCTACTACTCTCTTCCTTATGTCCTGTAATCTTGTGGGGGGCTGCTTGCCCCATAATATATTTGAAGATGAGACTGGGTTGCAGTTTTATAAATTGTGTAAACATGCCTCTGGCAAGACCCTGCCCTGGTGGGAAATGGCCAATGTGTTAATAATATAATGGAAACTGGGTAGCTCTATCGATGAAGCGGTTCTTTGACTCTCACAGAAACTGTCTTTTTCCAGGATGATTCTTCAAATGCAGATGGTAAAGGTAAGCCCCATGATGGGTGTATTTTCTCTTTTTGCCTTGTTTTTTGTTTTAATATATTAGGCTTAGTTAATACCGGGCACAAACTGAAGGCTCACACTTGTCATGTCTTGGTGAATCAACGGAGGTTTGGAGGCCACAACGGAGATGGTATATGGTGACACCAGGTGGTGACGACGTGAGGATCCATCAGGTATGTGCAAGAGGTATCGAGGAGACCGCCATCGAGATTACACAAGAGAAGTTTACTCCTTCATACAAGAGAAGAGTATTGTGACCGAGTGATTGAACTCGACTCTCCTTAATACATGATGCTCATATTGGACTTGAAACACCTTGCAAGATTGTGCAGTTATCAGTAATAACTGATTTTCTTCTTCTTTTTAAGAAGATAGAAGATGATAGTTCATTATTTTTTAAGAAGATTGAAGATGGTAGTTTATATTTTTGTGTGAGTCTGAAGTTTGTTGCCCATAGTTAGGAAAGTTTACTAAATAGAATGCCTTGAGTGGCATCCATTGCACATCTTACTAGTTTCTTTTGCAAAGAAATCTCCGTCTACATAAGGAATGAACATCATATTCCAATAGCGTTTTTCTCTAGGATACTCTGAGTATATTTTAGCCAGAATGAGGAGTGGGGGTGTGGGGGACCCAGGCTCTGAAGATGAAGCAGGTACTTCAGCGACAACAGGAGCCAGATGTGGTGGGAGCACTGACAGAAGCACCAGCTTGAGTGCTTGGGAGTTGCACCTCACCTTACAAGACATCTTGTAGCTTCAGTAGTAATTTTTCAGCATGCAGTCATGTCTGTATGTTATACAAGATGTGAATGAACATCGAGCAGAGCAGCCCATCCACATTAGGTACAGCAGCAGTGGGTGGAGCTGAACTTAGCGCGGGGTAAGGTTGCCATGTCCCGTGGTCCCCCCCACCCTCGTATGGATGACAACGCAGCAGTCGGGGCAGCAGCGACGGTGTGGGGTGCATCCGTTCCTACTTCACATGACGTAAACAGCGTGACTCACTTCTGGCGCTGGATACCATCTGCCAGAGGGGAGCCACAGCCCGTCCTGATGACTGACTCGACCCACAGAGCGATCACACACCAAGGAGGGCAGTTCCACAACCCACGGCAACGCAGACTCCATGGGGAAGAAGGACATCTCCGACAGCGATTCTAAGGATAAGAAAGAATGCGATAAGCCCAAGAGGTTGGTTCCTCATACTGGGTTTGTATCATCAGCAGTCAGTCCTAAGCTGATACTGAAACATGGGGCATGATCTCCCTTTGCTGTACACATCTGCTAGACCACTTGTCAAACATACTAGTCTGTTCTTGTCACATGGGCTTGCCAGCATCCTAAGACTGTGGATGTGGGAAGCAGTTGTTATAAGCCAGTATGGCTTATTTTTTTATCTCTTAAGTATTTAGTTTATTTGAGTTGCATTTTCTTCCTTTCTCCACGTTTTTGTTAGTTTTAAAAGTTTGGACAGTAAAGATTTGAAGTGGATAGCAATTTTAAACATACCTGCCCTTTTTGGAAAGCAGCTAGAGAATGATTGATGGTGAATGGGTTTTATTTTAGTCACCCTGCTTAGGTGGGAAATGGCTGATGTTTATAAAACAAATGTGTTGATTTAGCATTAATAGCACTGTGTATTGGGCAAAAGTCTTTGTACAGATGTGGAAATGAGGGCCCTGTTTAGTACAGGTTTAAAAAATTGGGGCCTTGTTTAGTACAGGTGTAAATATTGGGATCCTTTTTAGTACAGGTGTAAAAATTAGGCACTGTTGAGCACAGGTAAGAATCAGGACCCTGTTCATAGGGTATGGAGAGGTGGGGAGGCTTGGCAGAAAGTTTTGGTGCTGGAGGGTAATAACATTCTTCACTGAACCACAGGGAGGGACGGGTCAAGTTCTTGCTGATATTAGAGGTGGTATATTTTTCTTGTGGCAAAGTGTCCTGAAGAAAAAAAATTCAAATGTATTCCACAAGCCAAATTATGGTGTGTAAAAGCAAATTACGAAGAGGGGCAGTTATTTCTACAAAGTGAATTTGTGAGATCTGGACAATAGGTGTGGATCTTTCCAATCACGGGTAGTCTGCAAGATATGCATGCGATTATGCAGTGGCTTGGAAGACGTATTGGAAGGAAACTAGCCTCTCTGACAGTATTGTATGTGGAGTGGGGGAAGGATAAAGCTTGATTATTAGAACTTTGCATTTATATTGGAGTTTGACATGGAAGTAAGATATTTGCTCAATATTGGAAAATATCATGGTAGTAAGTTTTAAAAAGATTTCTTAAGCTTCATTTTCAGTAATCTAAACAAAGTTTTCATTGTATTGATTGCTACAAGTAAAGAAAGGTTGATCTTGTGCTCATGTTTTAATTTTCCTGTGTTTTCTGCAGCTCCGGGGAAGAAAAGGGGAAAGATGACAAGCTAAAAGATGACAAAGGTAAGCCTAGTTTAGAGTAATTCTTAAGTAAACTAAGTTAAGGAGCGTGTGTTAGGTAGAAGCGAGTAGAGGCAAGTAGTTTTTACGACTTGGCATTTTGGTGTGAGTAAGGTAACATTTATAGAGGGATTCATGAAAGGTGGTTAGTTGTACTAGAGTTCTGGAGATGGGAAGTGCAGTGCCTGCTCTCGGAAGGACGGGTGGAGGCATGTTGGTTATAAATGGCATCGGCGTGCCTCTGGCAAGATAATGATGAAGCGAATGATGAAAGTACTGGTTTTTCTGGTCGCCCTGCTTCTGTGGGACGCGGTAGTTGTTAATAAAATTTTTGAAGGATCAAAGAGCCAAGAAGTCTAGAATTGAGATAACGAGCAGCTTGGATGAGGTTAATAGAACTGGGAGTCGAACCTTAAATATAGACGAAATGGGAATTTTACATATGGAAAGAGTCGCAGTATTAAGAGCCTTAAAATACGGGGGGAAATAATTGGTAATGGCGAAAGCAGCAGGACTGGCAGACATGTCTCTGAAAGGGTAGATAAGTATGGTTCCCGTGAAATGGCAGAGGGCATTAAAGGAAGGGGAGGGAGATTGTCTATGGTAGAATTGACTAGTATGTATATATACACAAATGTGAAAGTATGAGTGTCATAAGTGTTTAGAGAAGGAATATGTAGTTAGTGTTTAAATTGGCTTTAACATGCAGCCTCTAGGATAGTTTTATTTCTGAAAGCTCAGAATTTAGATAGGAAATGTATACCAAGAGGTGTATGCTTTTCAGTGTATAGGATGTATACATAGAGGTGTGCATGTCACTTTGAATATATGTATACTTGTTTGGTGGTGGAAAGGTCCCTTAATGACCTTAGAGTAGTTGATAGGCTTTAAACCCCATTAACCCATCCAAATTATGAAGAAAATTGCTACAATTCCTTCTTTGAACAAATGCATTCAAATAATTCAAAATTACACATCATTGGGTTTCAAAAACGAGATTGAACAATAGAGCAAGTCCTGCTTTGTTGCACGCTCCTCCTGCATAGCAGACTTGTCAATGCTTGCTTGTTTTCACCCAGAACTGGACTTAAAGTAATTGGCTTAAATATTGGTTGTCTCAGGGTGTTGGCAGCCCAAAGTGGGTGCTATTATTATTATTATTATAATAGTGTATTTTTGGCTCATTCCTTGTGTAATTGTGGTATTGATGGAATTTTTTTTTATTTTAGGTGGATATTGAATAAGTTTGTCAGGAGGAATTAGCTATGCTGTATTTACAGGTTAAAAATCTAATCCTGTAATTTATTTAGTTTTTCCAGTTACTGGAACCATTATAATTGTCATTTGTATAGTCATGGTTTAGTTTTTGATTTATTGCTATAATTATTTCACCTTTGTAAACAAAATGAGTATTTTGAAACAGTGCCGCTCTTAGAATTTGAGAAGTGTGGCGAGTATTGTAAACAGACATTAGAAGACTGGTGATGGTATAAAAAGTGTGAATATTGATGTTTTTATTGATTACAAACAGTAGGAAAACCCACCAGTCAACGTGTGGTAATTTTTCAATGAATTTAGCTTTACACACTGTATAATTACTAGAATGAATCTCAAATACTGTATGGGTTTAATTATGCAAGAGTTAACCGATCCATTACATTGTTTTTTGATTTGTTAAAGAATGTCAATACTACGACTGTAATATTACACACGTGTGTGACTGGTTAATGGTCCATGTCAGATCAAAACAGGGTCATGAGTTTGTCCCTTATGTGTGGGGGGTATAATTGTTAAAAAAAAAAAATTATTTTAATGCAGCGATAGAATTGAGGTGTGATTTTTGCATTGGGTTGTAGTGAGAAATGATTGAAGAACACTGGTGTAGGGAACTTGCCAGGATGAGTTAGAAGGAAATTGAGTGTTACATCTTAGATATTGGTATGTTAGTATTTTCATTAGATGTGGTAATTTGGCTTGGGTTTGCTCTTGGAGTGAAAGTGCAGTATTATGTATGGAGTAGGGCAGGGATCCCACAACCTGTGGTCTGCACGTGGCCTTTTTAAGAAATTGATGCGAGCCTCGCATGAAATTAGGAATTCACTCTTCTGTAGGTTCTACACTGTAATGTCATCACACATTTGACCATAAAATGTGTCCCACTTGTGTAGGAAAGTTGAGGACCACTGGAGTAAGGAGAAACTGGTTAATCAAACTGTTGTAGAAGAGGGTGAGGAGGAGAGTACAGCACTTGCACTCTTGCAGGCTAAGTTGCCAATATTTCATCTTGCTGAATGGTGGAAATTGGTCAGTGCTCGCTGGGAAGTGCAAGAGTGATGGCAAATGTTTTTTCTTTGGTCCACCGTCCCTAGATGTGAAATAGCTTATTTTCAAATTTATAATTGATTTTCACATTCTAATATAGGCGTACCTTCGGCAAGAGTGGTGGAGTGAATGATGGAAGTTTCTTCATTTTTGGGTCGCTGTTCCTCAGCGGGAAATGTCCAGTGTGTTAATAAAAAAAAATAGAACTGTTTTTTTAGATAGGACTGAGTGGAGATGAATGGTTTTTGGGACTTGGCAAGCTGTTGGAGTGTGAGTATGGTAATATTTTGTGAAGGGATTCAGGAAAATTAGCTGTACTCGAGTCCTGGAGGTAGGAAGTACAGTTCCTACAATATTAAAGGGGTTTAGGATATTTAAGGAATGCAACTTGAGTGAGGTAGTAGTACTGCATCAAACTTATCGATTACTTAAGTAGTTCACCAAACCTTGAATATCCTGGCAAGGGTCACACCTTTCCCTGTCTTGTCTGTAAAAATGGAAAAAAAAAATCTGAACATTGAACATGCTGGCATATGACAGATGGGTTCCTTATCTCTCCTGTCACCTTCCATTCCAACTTCATTTGCTTTACCCCATTATGAGTTGGAAATGTGGTGGTTTTTATGATAGGCCTAGGTGCCATTAAGGAGAGGTGGTCAAGAATGTATTAAGACCAGTTAGTACACTTTTGATAAGCTTCTAGTCTTTCTACTCCAGAGCCCAGTCATGGGCCAGGCTTATCTGGTGCTAGCCTGGTCAGTCAAGTGCTTGAAGTGACTTCTTGACACTAACTCCCAAGAGACTTGACTCAAGAAATCGTAATGACACGATTGCAAACAAACCATACCCCCAGCCGGGATTGAACCCGCGGTCAGTCTCAAAACTCCAGGCTAGCTGGTCTAGTGGCTAACGCGACGGGCTGGAGTTTTGAGACTCTATGACCGCGGGTTCAATCCCAGCCGGGGGTATGGTTTCCCAAGAGACTTTTGTGAGTGTCAGGTTTGGTGCTTTCCCAGGGTCTGGCTATGAATTTCCAGGTATAATGCTCTCGTAATCTTAGTGTATTGCTCTCGTAATTAATGCATTAAACTTTTTAGACCACAAGAAGAGCAGCAGTGGTGGTAGCGGCGGAAGGAACCTCTGGGTCAGCGGCTTGGCATCTTCAACTCGGGCACAGGATCTCAAATCTGTTTTCTCCAAGTATGGCAAGGTAGGTGGGAAACATCACGATTCATGAAATCATAACACGATTGCCAAGAAACCATGGTATGGGTGGGGGTTAAACCCATGGCAAGGGAGTTGTGAAACTTCAGGCCAGTGCGCAAGTCATTGGGCCAGCTGGATGCAATAAGATTCATCCAACTAGGTCAGGGTTGGGCAAACTGATGCCTGCCAAAGGTTTTCATGCAGCCTGCCAAGATCAAGTCTCTTGCGTATATGCAAGTGAATGGGCAAAACTTTGTTCATTTTCCTCTGAAACCATGAGCTGTTACACAAGCATTATCAGACAAGTACAGTTCCCAGTTGATGGCTTTAGAATTTTGCCCCACCCCTGGACTAGGTATATCTATAAGGACTGCTCCCCCCCCCCCCCCAGTCTTGGAAAGTCTGTCTGCACCTTGTATGCTCAAGGACAGGATCCAGGGTAAACTGTTATGCTTAGCAGTTGTCTACATATGTTACATTACAACTGCTTGGAAAGTCTTAGTCTTTTCTTGCTTGTATGCCTTATACAGGCCTTGGGTTCAACCACCACCCATTCCTGGTTTAAGTAGTGAACTATTTATGGTTGAGTACTCAGTCAAGAGTGGTGCTTTGATGTTGGTGTGAGGGGGTTCTTGTTCTAAAGAATTGAATGTTTATCAACACATCGGCAGTTTACCACTGACCCGAAAAAAAACTAGCTTTCCTTTTTACGTCTAGTAATTTATACAGAAGGTTACTAGCCCCTTGCTGTCAGCATTTTGGTCGCCTTTTACGACACCTGTGGCTTATGAAAGAAGGATTCTAACCCACTTTCCCCATGGAATATTTATATTAATGTATACTCTTGCCCGTGTTGGTCTGTGATTGTTTCCTATGCCCGTTTTTTATCAACTCGTAATATTCGAGATTTATGAAAAAAATTAATGCTTTTGTGTACACATTTTCAATTTTTATGTAACCGTTTTTCTTTAATCGCAGGTTACGAGTGCAAAGATAGTGACTAATGCCAAGACTCCCGGGGCCAAGTGTTATGGGTTTGTCACCATGGCCAGTAGTGACGACGCTGCCAAGTGTATCTCACAGCTCAACCACACAGAACTTCATGGTCGTATGATCCAGGTGGAAAAGGTACAATTAAAAACTTATGTGGGTCAGTTTTCAAATGGAACAGGTTGTTTCTGGATGAGTTGCCTCGTTTGACACAAGGGGGAATATCTAACCAGTGTTATTTAACCTTCTTGCGATTACTAACCCAACACACGCTGCTGTGTACAGTAATTTAGGTAACTGTTTGTGTACCTGAATAAACTTACTAATGAATTTGCCAATATGTTCCCATACCCTTCTATCCTCACTTTACCAGACTGCCTGAATCATCACCATTGCTGCTAGTCGCCAGTATGACTCCAAAAGATGTTAATATCTTGGTTTTATTTCACACAAGGATGGCTAGTAACACAACAGTTGATAGTTTATCATTTAATTTATTCCCCCCCCCCCCCTTACTGTCCAAACACAGACGTTCTTATGCGTAGTGCTCCAAAAGTATATCTACATATTTATTTTACATTTTCAAATATAACAAAAAAAAAAAAATATCAGTTTTTTTTTTTACACTTTTTTCAAATGTAAAAAAAAAAGTACGTATTTTTACGTACTTTTCAAATGTTGAAAAAACGTAGATCTACATTTGGACAGTTTAAGGGTTAAAATGGTTCAGAGATTGAATCCCATACCCCCCCCCTCCCCATTATTTGATTCCCAGACCCCCAAGGAGTATGGGTACCCCAGTTAAGAACCGCTCAATTAGACTGACTCCTCGTTGTAGGTAACATACAAGAGTTGGGTCTTGTTGTGCAGTACACATCACACATTATCCAAGGAGCAATACATGGCTTCAACATTCTAGCTTCTGAAATTCATTTGACAGCACATAAATGGTACCACTATTATCAAGAGGCATTTAAGGGACAAGATATGACAGTTTATTGTACTTTCTACGTATATTTTACCTGGTTGTATTTTGAATCAGTAATAAGACATTACTTTGGACACGCAGTGCCCTAAACATCATTAATTTCTTTCTCCTCGGGTATTGTCCCTTTTTTTATTATTTTTAAACTAGATGGCTTCTAAAACAGGGGGCTTTGTTTTCTAGGCTAAGGGAGAACCTGGTGGTCCAACCAGAAACAAAGCATCCTCTTCGTCGTCCAATCGTAAACCATCAGACTCCAAGAAAGATTCAAGTAGCGACAAGAAGAAGGAAGGAGATAAGAAGGAGGGTGATAAAAAAGATGGCAGTGATGATAAGGAAGGTTTAGATGATAAGAGTGGTAAAGATGGGGACAAGAATGACAGGAGGTCACATTCCAAGGACATCAGTAGAAGTAGTAAAGATCGGGATCGCAGGGGACCAAGAAATAACAGGCCGTTTGAACGACGACAAGATAATTATAAGTTCGAGCCACGAGGAGGCAGAAACGAAGTCTTGAGTTTCAAACAGGTATGACCTAGTTACAATATTTTTATGTTCTTGTTGACTTTTGTGTTGTGGTGCATTTTGTGTGCATACGTGTGTTCTGTTGTGAGTGTCAAGCATGTGTGGCACATCCATTGTCAAACAGAAGGGAGATTACTAGCATTGTGGAATAAAATAATTTATTTTCCCTCCTTTACTCTGAGTAACTTCATAGGTCAAAACGGTGTCAGCTCCTCATTTTCCTACTAGAGGTGACTGGAAACTGTTATCACTAACTAGTGCTTAAGCTCCACATTCTCTTTCGGAGAGGTTGCCTTGCTGTTGAAGGGCTCCTGATCCAAGGATTTATCCACATTCCCCAAGCAGTGTGACCGTGCTTCTAATTCAGTGTGATAAATTAGGGACGCATAAACTGTCATATCTGAATACCTCTGGAAAGACGGTGATAGTGTGAATGATGGTTAGTTTTTTTGGGTCACCCAGCCTCGGTTGGAGAATTTGTGTGGAAAAAGTTTCTGGCTTATACTTTCATTTTTTGGCTTAAGTCATAAAATTCGGTGACAGTTTAGTATTTTTCTTGCAAATTAAACTGGTTTTAAAAGCCTTTTCTGGCGCAGATCATGGATGAGCGCGAACGACAGCGCCTGCGTGCCCGGGAGAGAGTGATGCGGGAAGAGGAGAGGAGGAGAAGAGAGGATGAAGTGAGGCAACGTAACATTGAAAGACGTCAGCGAGAAGAAGCAGAGAGACTCCAGAGGTAAGTTGTCGTTTGACCCTTTAAAAGTGGAGTGTGGCCCAAAAGTAGCGGCTTGATAAAGTTCCTGGAGAGCGAAACGTTGCCACAGTAAAATGTTACATTACCTTTACCTAAAGAGTAATAAAACTGTAATTTGTCAACAGGGAGAGAGAAAAATTGCGCTTAGAACGAGAAAAAATAGAAAGACAGAAGCACGAACTCTTACGCTTGGAGAGAGAGCACCAGAGGATGGAGAGAGAAAAGCTGGAGAGGGAGAGAGAGGAACTTCGACGTCAACAAATGAGGTACCGTACATTCCCAGCTAATGTCTGTCTTGACTGAAACTACATTTTAAGACTTCAGTCAGGTTAAATGTTTGAGTAATCCACAGTTATTGACTCCCAGGGGATGCTGAATGTGTAGGTCTCAACTTCCATGTATTAAATATGGAATTTCAGTGACCCATCCAATCTGCACCACTTGCTTTTTATGTTTCTAATGATATTCTTAAACGGCCACAACCATCCCCCTACCCCCCTCCCCTCCTTGCACTTAAATGAACTAGCCACTCGTGTGACAAGACGTTGGTAGCGCTTTTGGGTGGCAGACGAAGGCCTAGGGTTGATCCTGGGCTGGGTGGAGACAGACATGTTTCTTAACATCTGTTTCCCCTGACCCTATTCACTTCTGTGAACTTGCTAAACGTCAGGCATTACACACACAACAGTGGAGGAGCATTGTAGTGGACCTACTGGTCCATACAGGGCAAGTCCTTGTGTGTTACTGTTCACTGTTTTAACCAGGTCAACCCTTTGGTATACATGTTAGTGGATGATTACCAACAGCCAGATCATGGAGCTGGTGTTAGTGGGTGGAGAGTGGCACCTACAGTATGCCTCATGCTTAGTGACCAAGGGTTTGGTGCTTCTTGTAGTACAGTACTGCAGAAATAGTCAGTCTGTTAAGGAACTTTGCTTGTGGCATTTGAAGGCTATTCTGTACTCTTTAACAAAAACTTTGTAAGAGGTTGAACTACTTGTGGCATTTGCTGGTTATGTTGTGACATTTTGGTTATATTGCACTATTAAATCTGATATTTCTAACTTGGCTACTACAATGTTCAGTCTTTAATGTACTTCAGAATAACACCCCAGACTGTGTGGGATAAAAAAAAAAAATTATGTAAATTATTACCCTGCCATGACTTGCGAAATCACAATAACGCAGTAGCTTCAAACCCGCGCCAGGGAACAGGTGCGGGTTTGAAGCCATGGCAAGTGGGGGTAAACTCCAGGCCAGTGTGTTAACCTCTGGGTCAGCTGGCTCTGAAGTTTGTCCATCTGGGTATCGCATTAGAGCCAGCAGGCTGTGGTTAATACCAGCCATGAATTTGGAGTCACTGGCCATGGTTTCAAACCCCATCAATTTCACGAGTAAGAATTTGTACAGTGCTCGGGTAGTTCTTGTTGAGCCTTGCATCTACACCTATTGTGCTAAAAAAATTTCCCCAGATAGCCATGACATTTACTTAGCAATTTGGTGAGTATCACATGTAGTATTCCACAGTAATTATCTATGAGTAGTTAGTGTATAATCACTTGTCGGTGCTCAGTAATACCCACATGGGGACAGAAACTAAGGAGATTAATTGATCTGTATATTTTGACACCTTTCTGGGAGACCATCATCCCATTGTGACCGGAAAAAGAATCATCATCATTCACACTATTGCTGTCTTGTCAGAGGGGCACAGATACGATAGTTCAGATGTCGCTAAAGAGCAGATAGCCCAAACCTTCCTTTAGAGTGCAAGCACTGTACTTCCCACCTTCAGGACTTGAGTCTGGCTAACTGGATTTGAAATCTATAGATCAGTTAATCTCCTGAGTGTCTGTGGGCTATTATGAAGCACCTACCAGTAGGTATATTTGCTGTGTAAGGTAAAACATCGAATAGTTGCCCGAACTGGTGGGTGTTCGAAACACTACTAGTGGCTCTGGCTTCCAGCTTAAACACGAGTAATTTTTTTTTTTTTCCCATCGACACTTGTGGAGGCACTTTCAATCAAACTTCAAACCAGTAGTTTTTGGTACAGCGCTTGGTTCCCCTTCATTAAGTATTGTACATAACCTTGTAACTGTTTATTTCAAGATGGGTGTTACCTTCCTGTATGCAGTGCATTATAAGATTTAAGTTTGAAATTCTGTATATGACAGACTTTACTACAAAAAATAGCAATCCATTTGTCCCCAAATTAATGCAAAATATTTTGTTTTTTTATGGTAAGATTACCTATAATTTTGGATGCTCAAGTTGCACTTGGTCTTGATGTGTGTTGTGCATTTTATTTAACTGTTAATAAACCCTGTATTTCTAACAGTAGACTCCGGTTAGTGTCGTCTCTGGTTCTAATACTAAATTTATTTTTAAAAATTTTGATATTTTAGTTTTAATTTCTAATGTTGGAAAGTAGCTAGGCACTTTCTTTTGACGAATCCACAGACTATAGGAAAGCCCCGTATGTACAGCACTCTTTTTGGTGTTCCATGTTTTCATTGGCTTTCAATTGAACTGTTGTTCCACCCTCCTGTGAACATCACCAGCAGGTGGAACATAATGAACAATGGCTCAATTTAAGACATTGAAAACACGGTACACGAACAAGGTGCTGTATATGCAGGGCCCTCCTGTATGTGTACGAAGCTTGTGGTGTTTGTGTAAGGGAAGAGACAACTTGGATATCAGGCTTGTGGTGTTTGTGTAAGGGAAATCTCAATACGAGGCTTGTAGAGCCATTAGCATGAGCCGGAGTCTACTATTCTTTCAGGTACGAGGAGACGCGCAGAAGCATCAAGCGGCCGGCTGAAGACCGCGAGCGCAGGGAATTCTTCGAGGATCGTAAAAGACCAGCTCCAGATAACAGATCACGTTTTGACGAGGCTCCAGCACCCCAGAGAAGGTACAAATTTATCATAGCCAAAATTTTGTAGATTTGCAGTTGGCATTTAGTTTTTTTTTTTTTTTAATGGGGCTTTAGCTGTGTATAGTATTTACAGCAGTGTTTAGTTTTTTGTCATAGGTCATTATAGTAGTTGCCAGGTAGTACTTTGGTGCAGGTGATGGGCTCCAGTTCTTGGTCCTGCCTTTAAAATTATTTATTTTTGTGCAAACTTTTTGTTGTTGTTGTTGTTGTTGTTGTTGATCTGTATTCATACAGTCGAGACAATTCTGTTAACACTTGCAGGTGGAAGTGTTAACATATAATGGGGAAATTTGGCCACCAACCTTAGTGCTTTAACTCCTTCAGGGTCCAAGGCCAAAATCTGAAGTGGTGCCCCAGTGTCCAAGAATTTTCCAAAAAAAAATTTGTTATTTTTTCTTATGAAATGGTAGAGAATCTTTTTGTGAAGGTAATAAAACAAAAAGTACGAAATTTGATGGAAAATTGACGAAATTATGCTCTCTCGAATTTTGACGTTTCAGCAATATTTACGAATTGGCGATTTTTGCCGACTTTGACTCCCATTTTAGGCCAATTACATCATTCCAGTCGACCAAATTCTTAGCTATTTCACTAGTATTACTTCTATTCTATCGATTGAGCACAAGAAATCGCCAAGTCAACTGTTTCAACTACAAAATAAAGTGATCGGAAATTGGTAATTTGGCCAATTTAACACAGTTCAAAATATTCCAATTTCAAAATAGCGTCCAGAATAAACAATGTAGGCATTCCTGGCACTAAACTAGCATTTCCTCGGTTCATTAGTTACGTTTTGAGGCTTCACAAATAAATCCCATTTTGATTTTTTATTCACATAATGAATTTTTATTCACACCAAAAAATAGAAGATTTACTGTTATGCAATATTGTAATAATTGTATAAATATCATCACCATATTTGTGAATGTATATTAGACCCACCAGCTGGCGTGTATTAGACGTGTGAGGTCATTTGTTTACTCTTGAATATCGGCAAAAATTTAACATTTCTGCTACTTTGAGCTCAGTTTCAAGCCATTTCCAGTGCTAAAACCAATCAAAATCATCTCTATTTCTGTAATATGTCTTCCATTCTATCAAATGAGACAAAGAAATTGCAAATACAACTATAAAAATCATACGAAAAAACACTGCAAAGTTGCTGTTTTAATCGAAAATCGTGGTTTGTTTTTTTCTCATTATACACAGTGTGCTGCAGGATTTGTTTTATGTGGTGCACACATACCACATAGATGTATTCTCTCATATCTAGGCCCAAGTGTACCAATCACAGTTTATCAGAGTGAACTGAGCTCATGACGTAGATCTACGGTTTGGACCCTGAAAGGGTTAAAAGTGCCTCTGTTTCTGTAGTATCAGCTTGAAGACACTGATGGAGTGAGTGATGAAATGGCCGCCGGTGTTTAAAGGAAATTACCGGACCGAGCAATTGCTCCTTGTTAAGAGCAGTGTTCGTGAAATGTGAAATTTTTAGGTAATTGTAGAACGTTAACTAGTAAATAAATGTCTGGTATGTTTTATAAGAACCTTTACCCTACCTTTGATTAGTTTAGTGTTTCTACTCCTGAAGCCCGGCCATGGGTCAGGCTTGTCTGGTGCTATCAACCAGGCTGCTGCTGCTGGCTTACTGACCCACATACCCATCACAGCCTGGTTGATCTGGCACTTGGTGAAAATACTTGTTCAGTTTCCTCTTGTACACTTGTTCCAGCAGTGTTTGATATATTGTGGTAAGATTTTGAATAATCTGGGACCATATACCTTTGAAGAATTTCGAGAGTATATCTCCTCTCTGAGCCCGGCCATGGGCCAGGCTCGTCTGGTGCTTGCCTGGTCAACCAGGTTGTTGCTGCTGGAGGCCCGCTGCCCCACATATACATCACAGCCTGGTTGATCTGGCACCTGGTGAAGATACTTGTCTAGTTTCCTCTTGAAGGCTTCAACACTTGTTCCAGCAGTGTTACTGATATCTTCTGGCAAGATGTTGAAAAGTCTGCATCCCCGGATGTTGATAGTGTTCCCTTATTGTCCCCACTGCACCCCTGCTCCTCACTGGGTTTATTTTGCACTTCTCCCATATCTCTCACTCCAGTATGTTATGGCAGGGTACAGATTTGGGAACAAGTCATGTATGTTGATACAGTGTTCCCTTATTGTGCCCACTGCTTTTCACTGGGTTTATTTTGTACTTCCCTCCATATCACTCACTCGAGTATATTGTGACAGTGTGCAGATTTGGGAGCAGGCCTTAGAGTACTTTACAGGCATGTAATAATATGCATCTCCTCCACTCCAGTGTGTACATATTTATGACTTAAGGCTTTCCCAGCAATTAAAATGTTTTACTGGCTCTGTGGGCTGTAACCAGTCTCTGCATTTGTTCCAGCTCTGATATTTCTTCTGCCTTGAACGGGGCCATCAACACAGCAATATTCCAAATGAGAGAGCACTAGCGATTGTCACCATTGGCATTATTTCGCTCGTTTTTGAAAGTTTTCAATGCCCACCCTGTCATCCTGGCTGTCGTGACCTTTGTCTTATGTTCCCAAATCTTTCACATTTTCCTTTTGTTCTGTTTGGTGATCCTGTTTAGTACATATTTTGGAAAGCACTCAGATTAATGCCATTTTTAGATTAGTGGCACCATTACCTATTCACATGGCATAATTTCCCCCATTTTTAAACATTAGCTTCTTCCCACTAAGGTAAGGCAACTTAAGACACATGTACAACATCTGGGTATCCTTATTGTAGACGTTTCGCCATCCAGTGGCTTTATCAATACAAATTCCAGGACATAACTTGAAGGTGGTAGAACTATGTACAGAAGATGAGGTAATCAGTCCCTCAACCTAGGAGTAGGTGCGAAGGGCACCGTAGTCGTAGTCACTGGTAGGCGGGAATCCCGCCTACCAGTGACTATGCCCTCGTCTGCTACCCGTCCTATTTCCACCTGACGTCAGTATACATGTCTTAATTTCATCTTGTCGGTATTGTATACCATTCTTGTACAAGGTAAGGCAACCTGAAAAAAAAAAAATCAATCACTGTCTTGCCAGAGGCACGCTGACATTACGACTCAGATGTCCCCTCCAAACTGCAATATCCCCACCTCCTCCAGAGTGCAGGCACTGTACTATCCATCTCCAGGACTTGCCACTGAATCCCTTTATGAATGTTACCTTGCTCACACTTCAACAGCATGTTAAGCCATGAAAAACACTTGACTTCACTCCTAACACTCGTATCTGTTGGGTTTCCAGGCACTTTTGACACAGTACCTCTCCTTCCCTCCCTCCAATCTTTATGCCCCCCACACCTCTTCTTCCCTCCACTACAGATTTATACACCCTCCAATTATCCTATTTTGCTCTATCTCTTCTAATGTTCAAACTACCTCACTAACCCCTCTTCAGCCCTCTGGATAATACTTGTAGTAACTAATCCAATCTCCAGACTACAAATTCTCTGTGTAATAGTCACATCTTGCATGACATTTCCACTTCCTCGCTGCACATTTCAAACCCATGCATCATACCCATATAAGAGTGTTGGTACCCCTATACTCTGATGCATTTTACTCTGCCTCCATGGATCAAGTTCATTGCCTCCACAGATGCCTCCATGCATCACTTGCATTTTTTCTCCTTACCAATTTTATGGTTCACGTCATGTTTCAGGGACCCATCCACTGACAAGTCCACTTGCTTCATAATCTTAGGTAAGACCCTAGTGGGGTGAGTGGGGGAAGTGATGATAGGGGATGATTAGGTTGATAGGAAGGTTTTGAGTGGTAGTGTATCTGGACTTAGTAGCTTGGTGATCGTGGTACTAGTGACTCGTGCAGCGGCGAGGAGTCGACTCCCAAGTATCTAAACACATTCACTACCTCCATATTCTCTCTTTCCAATCTGATATCCAGTCAGATTGGAAAAGGGGTTGTTTAACAGATGAGGTTGTAAGAGGAGACTGAAGAATGTTGTAAAGGTTGGTAGATGAATTTAGGAGGTGGGTAATAGTTCAGGCACTGTACTTTCCACCTCCAGGACTCTGGTCCAGCTAACAGGTTTCCCTGAATCCCTCCCTAAATGTAGTAACTGTTTATTGCTAGTTCACAAGGTTTTGTGTATTGTGTACAGCCATTCTGGGCTGTTATGTCATAGTTCAGTTGTTATTCTGGGGAGGGGGGGGGAGGGGGGGTATGTAGGTGGAGCTAGGCAGAATACTGAAACCATTGACAAAAGGATTTTTATTTTTTCCCCGTTTTGCTGTATTTCCCTGCTATGATTGTTGTCATTTGTAAGAAAGATTTCTGGTGAATGAAAGTCTATGGTTAGCTTTCAATTGAGGGATTGTGTGCCAAGCAAAACTACTAACAAGCACCAAAGAAAATCGTAATCAAAGCCTAGTGCTTCAATTATGTACGGTCAAGCACGAGTGTTTTGAGACTCGAGCGCATAGTCAAACACTTGGGTCGTCAAGCGCCCATTCTGAGGCTCGACTGCACAATGGGCTCAATTTTAACCCTTTCAGGGTCCGTGCCGTAGTTCTACGGCTTTGAGTTGATGGTCCAAACCGTAGATCTATGCCACGAGCTCAGCTCACTCTGATAAGCCGTGAGTGGTAAATTTGTTCCTAGATATGAGAGAAGACATCTGTGGTATGTGTGCACCACATAAAACAAATCCTGCAGCACACGCTGTACGATAAAAAAAACTGAGATCGTAATTTTCAATTAAAACACTGCAGTGTTTTTTCATGTTTTTTTTTTATAGTTGTATTTGCAATTTCTTGGTTTCATTTGATAGAGTGGAAGATATATTACAGAAATAGAGATTGATTTTGATTGGTTTTAGTGCAGGAAATGGCTTGGAAATTGAGCTCAAAGTAGCGAAAATTTTAAATTTTTGCTGATGTTAAAAAGTAAACAAATGACCTCACACGTCTAATACACGCCAGCTGGTGGGTCTAATATATGTTCACAAATGTTGTGGTATTATTTACACAATTATTACAATATTGCATAACAGTAAATCTTCTATTTTTTGGTTTGATTAAAAATTCATTGTGAATAAAAAATCAAAATGGAATTCATTAGTAAAGCCTGAAAATGTAACTAATGAACAGAGGAGATGTTAGTTTAGTGCCAGGAATGTCTGCATTGTTTATTCTGGACCCTATTTTGAAATTGGAATATTTTGATCTTTGTGTTAAATTGGCCAAATTACCAATTTCCGGTCACTTTTTGTAGTTGAAACAGTTGATTTGGCGATTTCTTGTGCTCGGTCGATAGAACAGTAGTAGTACTACTGAAGTAATTAAGAATTTGGTCGACTGGAATAATGTAATTGGCCTAAAATGGGAGTCAGTCGGCAAAGTCGCTGACACGTCAAAATTTGGCCTCGGAACCCTGAAAGGGTTAAGACAAGACATCTGTATTATTCATAAGATTTTGTTGGGATTTTTAACTCGGAGGGTTAGTCGGCCAGGATGACCCAGGGTAGGGAGGGGCTTGCCAGCCAGGATGACCCAGGGTGGGGAGGGGCTTGCCAGCCAGGATGAGCCAGGGTGGGGAGGGGCTAGCCAGCCAGGATGACCCAGGGTGGGGAGGGGCTAGCCAGCCAGGATGACCCAGGGTGGGGAGGGGCTAGCCAGCCAGGATGACCCAGGGTAGTCATTGTGTCATCAAGGACTGTCTTATTTCTATTGTGGTCCTTCAATCTTGTCCCCCAGAATGCCACACACACCTGTCTACTAAAACCCAGGTACCTACTTACTGCCAGGTGAACAGGGACAGCAGGTGTAGGGAAATGCATCCAATGTTTCCACCTGACTGGGGATTGCACCCTGGACACTCGGTGTGTGAGAAGTGGGGTTGTTGCATACCAGGCCATGGGACACCGTTGGAGGATGTAGTTTAAGCCCCTCGTATGTTTCAAAGTATACATGTGTAAGAACTACAGCAATTCTTGAGGGGGTAACTGCACTTCGTAATGTCTCGGAAATTTTGAGGGCCTTTAAACGGTAACCTTGGTATATGCAATTTTTTTTTTTTTTCATGTTGGTCATCTCCCACCAAGGCAGGGTGACTCAAAAAAAAAAAAAATCCCCAAAAAGAAAATGCTTTCATCATCGTTCAACATTTTCACTCGCACATAATAACTTTGCAGAGGCGCTCAGATAAGACATTTTAGAATTTTTACTTGTAGGTAGATTGGTTGGAAGGAGTTAAATAATCGAAGGATTCAACAAAGTTCGTGTTGTATAAGAGACTCAGATGGTGAATGATAGGAAAATTGATAACCTCAGAAATTTCAAGAATGCCGTTAGTAAGGTTCTTCCCGGAGTGCTTCCACTCTGCCACCAGAAAAAATCTCGTACTGGTGGATGTAGTAAAATGTGTATCTGTCGTCGGTAGATAATGTATTATGTAATAGTTTTCACCTCTATAACTGAAGTACGATATTAAAATATTCCATCGTGCTTGAGGATAAGAAGTCTGAAAATATTGTACACAGGCTGCTCCAGTTGAAGACAGGCAGACGACGACACTGGAGACTGGTTGGACGGGATCGCTCCCCCACCCTTGGTAGGTGGCGGTCAGTGTCTCGAGGCTAAAACAGTCTTGTCGCCAGACCTCGTGCGTGATTAAGGTTTAAAAGGTCTAGACAATATTTGTTGAATATTACAAGTGTGCCAACATTCCAGCCCTTCTGCATAGAGGTGGGAAAGCGAGACTGGTGTAGTAAATAAAGGTGGCAAGTTTCAGTTGCGGTTCTTTGAAGTTTCAAGTCAATATTGGGTTATTTATTGTATAATTGGCACCTAAGGTTTCTAAGTTTAAATAATATTTGTTCAGTGTTACAATTGTGCCAACATTATGAATACAGTAATTTTAGATATTAATGAGAGATTGATTTACTTTCAAGCAGATACAATGAAGATCGGAGCTATGAGAGAGGAAGCGAACCTGCGCGCTTTGAGCGGGGCGGTCACGGCAGTCATGCTAGTCACGGTGGTGGCAGCGGGGGTCGCGAGGATCTGCGCGGCGCACCGCCCGGCGTCGGCGGCGCTGCTAATCGTTACGATGATCGGCGCGACGATAGGCGTCCGGTTGATAGATCTGGCCCACGAGACGATCGTGATCATAGAGGACCACTACCCCCTCAGGCCTCACGAGACAGACCTAGGGAAAGGTAATTCCGCTCGCAGAAAACTGACCTCGTTCACTCTAGCTTATGAATGACTAAAAGTGTAATGAACACTTTTAAATACTCAATAATAACCCACGTGTAGACAAACAAAGGAAGTTGATTAATCTGTATATTTTGATCTCGTCCTGGGATCATCTTCAACACATCTGCTGGAGAGGATCTCGGAAAGGGATGGAAACCTCCAGATCAATGAACCTCTTGTTTTTCTCTGTGGGTTAATGTTGCGAATTGGGACGGATATTTAATATTAATTTCTCTATTATAATTTAGTCATCCTTTTGGTATATCTAAATTCAACTGAACTGGTTATATTTTAGCATTCGCCACTTAATTGTCCTTCACTATTGCATGACAAACGCTTATTAAAAAAGAGTTGATCCTCAAGCTTGCAATCGGTCATTACATGAATGTGCGCTGAGAGAGTTTGAAAGTTGCATATTTTGAGTGAGACCGTAGTGTGTGGCCGTAGTGAGTGAGTGACACCATAGTGAGTGTGGCCGTAGTGAGTGAGTGTGGCCGTAGTGAGTGAGTGTGACCGTAGTGAGTGTACGAATGTGACCATAGTGAGTGTGGCCGTAGTGAGTGAGTGTGACCGTAGTGAGTGTACGAATGTGACCATAGCGAGTGAGAGTGCACGGTTTCTTTTAGTTTTTTAAAAAAATTTACTCTAGATTTATAATATTGTCAATGTGTTAAAATTTTTAAAATTTAATTTTGTTTAATCTTCAGTGATATTTACATACATTCAATGGTCGTTTTCTTTATCTGTTTTTACAGTAAATCCTCGACTTACAAACGTTGAGAATCTTGCGTATTGTGCATAATACACAGAATAATGATATACACATTATACACAGTAATATATTGTACACAATACAGAACATTGTCATTGTATTTGTAAATCGAGGACTTGCTGTACATGTGATTTTTTGTTGTAATTCTGATTGGCTATGTAGTGTTGGTCATTGATTAATTTTTGTGATGCTGTTGCTCGGGTAAGACGTAAAGTAGTTCTAGTGTACATACAGCTAATGGAATAAATCAGTTCTGAGTGTCGGCAATGTCTCTGCAGGTACAGTGGTAGTGGTCTGGGCGGCGGAGGCGGCGGTGGTGATGCATGGAGGACTGGCGGGGGTATGGGCGATAGTAAGGGCAGCTATGGCAGCAGCTCGGCCATGATGGGGGGCAGTATGGGCACCTCTGGGCTCTCTGTGCGTGGGGGGGACTCCCAGGGCTGGAGAACGTCAAGCAGCATGAACAACAGTGATAGGTCAGCTATTATTGCCTGCACTTGTCTTCTCTTGTCTTACATCATTATAATTACAAAGTGAAGCTTGCACACGCCACCGTACTGTAAGTGTGGGAGAAGGCGTTGGTGTATTGCCTCCGGAGGCCATTGATATTGTAAGAGGCGACTAAAGTGCCGGGAGCCAGGGGCTAGCAGCCCCTTCTTTTGTATAAATTACTAAATATAAAAAAAAAATTTTTCTTTTTAGGTCACCCTGCCTCAGTGGGAGATGGCCAGTGTTTTAAAAATATTGAATATACTTTTTTTTCATTGATAATTTTAATTCCCAATTGAAATTTACACTGGGGGGGGGGCACTATATATATTGTCTTGGGAGCCATTTTTTTTAGCAGGTTAGTCAGTAAACCGTATGCCAGAAGCGAAAACTAAAATTATAACTAGGGATAAGAATTGTTCTTGTAAAGTATTACAGGAGAGAGTGGAGGTGGATAGACAGAAATGGGAAGTAGCCAAGCCTAGCCTAGGGCCGGGCTGCAGGTCTAGGACGACAGTAGACTCGTTTGAGGAAGCAAATAGGTTAATATTAAAAGTACGAGGTTGAGAGGAGGGTTGATTAAAGTTCATAAAAGTACAAGGTTGAGAGGGAGAAATGTTAGATGTATAGCAATTCACTTTTGCACTCTTCTGAATGTATGTGCCCTTGTTCAGTCCTAAATGAACAAATGTGTGAACACCTGTGGCATCCTTGTCTACTATCATGATGTCCAATGTAATAATTTTGGTCTTGTACATACAGTGCGTTTTACGTAATACTGAACTCTCATGTGTACATAACTAAATTAAGATTAGGTGGATAGTTTACTATTGGTAGAAAGAATTCTTAGCTTTGACTTAATTCACAAAATGTATGGATGCAGGAGTTTTATGGGAAATATTTCCAAAGCAACTAGGGCCTTTTTGATAGAATGACTTGCAACACACCACCCATATACATTACAGTGCTTAACAATTTGCTGATTTTTTGCAAATGTCGTCTCGGTCCACAGTAGGATTTGAATGTGCACACACTGCGTCAGAGTACACGGTACATCGGTCATGTCATCAGAGCATGCAATACTTTGAGCCAGTGTGTGTGTGTGTGCAGGTACGAACCCTGCTGTGGACAGAGATGCATTGTTTATCTGCCTAGGATGGCCAATTACTGGCAGTAATTTTTAATGAGGATTTATTGCTTCACTTTAAATTAAAAAAAAAAAACATTTCCTTTATGATATTTAAATCATTTTATTCCTGGCCCTGTATGAAATGTATGTCAGTATAAAGTATATTTTTCAGATTTAAGTGAGCAAATCTTCAGATTCTTCACGCATTTTTGTGTTGGGGAATTTAATTGTGCTAATTAACTTTGTTCTTGCATTGTAATTTTTCTCATATGTAAATGATTTTTTGCTATTTTTTCATGCATGCCGTGGAGATTGCTCGGATATTTAATATAGTTTATGCTTGTTCTAGAGAAGTGTGACAATAATTTTCTTGGCATTTCCAGATGGGGCGGCGGCAGTGGTCCAGGCATGGGAGGACGCGGCGGCAGTGGAAACATGGGAGGCATGGGCATGTCCGAGATGCTACGGGCGGATCTCAACCACGTTTCCCAGCCTGGCATGAGTTCTATGTCCATGCCCATGTTGTCTCAGAACGATAGATTCCCCATGTCTAATTTTCGTAAATATTAGGAATTTTAATTAAGGACTGACAAAGTTGAGTGTTGAGGCAGGTAATATGTAGTAGACACTTTTAACCATTTAAAATTATTTGTTAGACTCACATTGGCCTTCAATACATCTGTGATGTAAAAATGTGATTTTTTCGGCCCAAAGTTTCATTAGATTTATCATTGTAGATACATTAATTAAAATTAGGCATTTCAGTTAATCATCCAAATTGTGGTTACGTACACAGGGCAGTCGCACAGTTTCATTTGTCTTGTCATGTACTGTACCTACGTGAGTCTAGTTTTGCTGCATTCAACCCTGAGATGAGTTTTTTTATATAAAGGAAAAATGAATTAGCTAGTGAAGACTTTAAAAGGCTTGTAGGTGATGACGCTTGATTACTGTTAAGTTGCATATACAGGATTGCCCAGCATACACAGCACCTTGACGGTTTTCCACGTTATTGTTGGTTTGAAATTGAGCCATTGTTCATTATGTTCCACTACCGGCAATTGTCACTGGTGGGTGGACGACAATAGATGCTGTACATGCAGGGTCGTCCTATACCGTGTTTTCTGGCATACAAGGCGCACGACTGTCGGCTGCTTGCTGATATGTAGTTTCCAAGCTGTTCTGACAGTAAACAAATGTTAGTGAAACCCAGAGCCTACCTTTGACCTTGAGCATGTACGAACAGGCTGATTTTCCAAGACTTTTTAGGGGGGGAAGGGGAAGCGTGCCTGATGTGCAGGAAAATACGGCAAGTGGTGTGCAAGTTGTCATCTACCTTGAGGTAGTACTAGCTTTGACTTGAGGTACATAATTATTTTTTCATTGAACATTCCCCATGTTTGTGTGTACCTGAATAAAATGTGTATCTGAAATATTGCTTCTATTGACCTGTTCTGCATTTAGGTTGGCAGGTGGAGATTCTTGCTTAATGCTTGTAGGTTTGATGATCCTCAGGCAAGTGTTCTACCTTGACATGCTCTTCCATCACTTAACCTACCTCTTGACATATGTCAAAATTGTCACTTTTCTGGCCAGGTAATTTTGAAACTGCAAGACCTTATTAATACACACATGCATGCCAGTGTCACCTACACTTGCAACTAAATTGCTTACTAACTACAGGCCGGACACCGTGCCACCTCTCAACGCGGATTGCTTTTCGCAGGCAAAATCTGCCCCACGATTGATTAAGCAGAAGTTTCAACGTGTGGAAAGCCTCCTGATAACTTATTGGTAACAGATTTTGACCATCTAAATTTTTTTTTTTTTTTCATCCTGCACATGTACATGATTTTATTACTACTACACCTCTTAATCCCCTCAAGGGCTGCTCCTTGATACTGGCAAGGGGCTCTTATCTATGGAATTGGATCCAGCATCCCATATTATTATTATTATTATAATCAAGGGGGAAGCGCTAAACCCGTAGGATTATACAGCGCCCAGGGGAGGGGGGATGTGGAAGGCATTCAGGCTTAATTCGGGGAACTGGAGCACAGATCCAATTCCTTAAATCAAGAGCCCCTCACCAACCCAGCATCCCATAGACTGAGCCATTATGCCTCTTAGGCACTGGATAACCCCTATGGGTTAAGTGCTTCCTGATCCCCTTCCATTACTGCAATACTAATATACGTAAAGTCTGGGAGACCTAAGAAGCCTCGGATCCTTGGTTTAGCGCTTTTATGTGGAAGCGTTATTATTTTAAGCTGCCGCCTCACTTTATCCATATTATAATACACTAAACCCAAAGAGTCGTACAGGGTTTTAGAACCTGAATTTCAGATTTCCTATGCGATTCAAGGTTTCTTGATGCTGGCGAGGTGCTCTTAACCCTTTGACTGTCGCGGCCGTATATATAAGTCTTACGAGGTACCGTGTTTGACGTATAATACTCATAAATTCTAGCGGCTTCAAATCAAGCAGGAGAAAGCTGGTAGGCCCACATGTGAGAGAATGGGTCTGTGTGGTCAGTGTGCACCATATAAAAAAAATCCTGGAGCACGCAGTGCATGAGAAAAAAAAACCTGACCGTTTTTTTTTAATTAAAATGCCGACTTTGTGGTCTATTTTCGTATATTATTTATGGTTGTATTCTCGTTTTCTTGGACTCATTTGATAGAATGGAAAACATATTATAGAAATAGAGGTGATTTTGATTGATTTTACTATAAAAAGAACCTGGAAATGGGGCTCAAAGTATGGGAAATGTTTGATTTTTGCCAATGTTCAAAAGTAAACAAATGATGTCATTGTCCAATAAATGTTCAACTAGCCATTCTAATATGCAGTCATGAATGGGTTGATGTTATTTATACAATTATTACAGTATTGCAGTAGTCTGCATAACAGTAAATCTATTTTTTGTTTGAATTATTATTATTATTATTATTATTATAATCAAAAAGAAGCGCTAAGCCACAAGGGCTATACAGCGCTGCAGGGTAGGGAAGGAAGCAAGGGAATTGGATGGCAGGAGGGAGGGGGGATGATCAGCAGGTTACAGAAAACAGCGGGGCAGGGGATAGTACGGGGGTAGAGGGTAGCAAGAGATACAAGTAGAAAGGGCTGAAAGTATCAGAATTTGTGAAGTAAGTCAGTCGTTGTCAAAAAGTCAATAAGAGAGTCGGATGAAAGGTGGGTCCATCAGCGAGAAGGGAAGGTTTAAAAAGAGAGCAGCGGGCGAAGACGGGCGACAGAGGTTTAAAATTTTGCGTGCTGTTGATTTAAAGTGGGCAGGGCAACAGAATGTGGCTGACTGATAATGGAGCTTGGCAATTCTACAGAGAGGAGCAAGACGCCTCTCCATGAGATATCCATGAGTAAGACGGTAGGGCCAAGCGAAGACGGGGAGAGAGTAGTCTCCCACCTGACATGGTGATAAGGAAAAAAAGGGAAGGGCAAAAGGGAGGAGTGGGGAGGAGGAGGAGGAAAGGAAAAAGGGGAGGATGGGATAGGGGAGGGGAGATTGGGGGGTAATTAGGTTCGGTCTGAGGAAGAAGACCGATAGGTCTAATTCCTCAGACCAAGAGCCTCTTCACCACGCCAAGGAGCCCCCCTTGAAGAGGTTTTGTTTGAATAAAAATTCAAAATAGAAAGCAAGAGTAATATCAGAGGGGCCTGGAGACATGACTGATGAACAAAGAAAATGTTATTTTAGAGCCAGGAATGTCTGCATTGTTCATTCTGGACATTATTTTGAAATTGTCTTATTTTTTAGTTTTCGTGAAATTGGCCAAATTGCAAATTTCTGACCACATTATTAGGTAGTTGAAATTGGTAAATGGGCAGTTTCTTGTACTCAATCGATAGAAAAAATGGAGTTCTAAAGAAATAGCTATGAGTTTGGGCGACTGGAACAATGGAATTAGCCGAAAATAGGGCTCAAAGTGGGCGAAATAGCCGATTTGTAAACAGCGCCGAGGTCGCTAACTTCGCGAGAGCATAATTCCGTCAAATTTCGTTGTTTTTTGGTGTCATTACAATTGGGAAAAGATTCTCTTATCATTTCATAAGAAATTTTTTTTTTTTTTAAATTTCGCGACACCAGGAGACCTCAAGATTGGGGGTTGCGACAGTCAAGGGATTAATGGATCAAACCCGATCACCTCTTAATTATCCCACCAGTTCCTGTGGCCCCTATGGGTTTAGCACTTCACTGATTATTATAAAGGTGACTAGCATGAAGTTTACACCCAAAAGGACCTGGGTTTGATTTCAAAGTGCCCCCTCAGGGGAGGTTCCTTGGTGAGGGGCTCTTGATCTAGGGAAGTGGATGTGCTCCAGATCCCTGAATGCCTTCCATTCCCCTCCTCCCCATCCATCTTATGGGTTTAGCACCCCTGTGATTATAATGTCCGTTTGCTTGCATACCTATAAGAACCAAAGCTGTATATCATGATTATTAAAAGTGCTAAACCCACAAGGGCCATGCAAAACCCTCCCAACATACCCATGTTGCATGCTTGTTACCCACAATAGTTAGGATACAACACAAACACTACAAAATAAGTATATTTCTCTTTGCAATTTACAATAAGCCAAGTTTAAAAAAAGAGGGGGGGGGGGGGGGAACTAATACAAATCTTTCAAAAAATGTCAGAGAACACTTAATTGCTGTGACCCTTGTGGGTTTAGTTTTGAAATTTACTGTGGATAGAGATTCCCATACAACCTGCACTTAGGAACTTGTGACGTCTTCGTCACCGATCATTGCCAAGTTACAACTGGCAAGAATGTACCGAGACGCCCCACAAGATGAGCTGGGTGGGACAGATAGATGTATAGTTATAGTAGATGTTAGGTTATATAGTGGATGTGGTAGAACTTTTACTACTTTCTTCTAACCGTCTGGTCGTCTCACTTGTGACTTAACAATGATTTACACTGGATGGTAAGATCATGAGGGTTTACCAAGTGCTTCCCCATGATTATAATAATTACCAAGTGCCAGTTATACATGAATCAGTGTTCCTTTTCTGGACTCCTTGTGTTATGGGACACAGTGAACTCTTATAAAGCTCCATGGGGGGAGGGGGTGCAATTGTTTAATGTGACTGAAAGGTGGTTTTCCAGAGTTAAATACTTGCTTACACGAAGATCTAAGTGATTCAACTTCCTGAAAGTGCTCTTTCAGTAGTACCACGAGAAATTGCTGTCCACGGAGCTTCACAAGAGCTCGTACTAAATGCAACTGAAAGTACACAAAAAAGAATGGTGCATTGAAGCTTCATACAATAGTGACCTGGTATCCGCGGGGACACTTCAACACCTACGTGGATACACGAGACCTTGGATAGTAGTAACCCTACATGTGCCATTTTTCATGAACATTCTAGACTGGATCAACCTACGATAGTTTAATTGATAATTCTCCATGTGCTGTGTGGAATTTATGACTTTTCCACTGATGGGACGTACTTCACAGCTTCTCTTAGGCTTTGAGGAACTGACACCATCACTACCGTTGTGCTTTAGGGCCAGTATTAGCTCTTTAAACTGTCCAAACGTAGATCTACGTTCATGTGCGTACCACTTCAAATGTAGATCTACATTTTGTTTTTACACTTTCAAATGTAAAAAAAAATTACGCTCGGAGCGCTACGCACGTGAACGTATATCTACACTTGGACAGTTTAATGGTCAAGCAAAATTGAGGATTATTTTGAGTTCACTGTAAACCTGGATAACTGAAACAGCGGAGACCAAATCCTCGGATACGGGTTCTACTGTACACGGAAAAATGCACGGTTTATTGAGAGAAATTTATACCAGGTGGTAAAGCTACTTTGGACTAACTTTTGCCACTGAATTGGCAAAAATATTACTGTTTGAGGGAAACTTATGCCACTATCAAGCGCTAAACCCACAAGTCATACAACGAGGCGCTTTGTAAGAGATCCACTGTAATGGTCATTTCAAGGGAGGGAAGCTCAAAGCTCGCCCTCACTGCTCTGAACACTGCAGTGAAGAACACACGGGGAAAAACCAGTAAAGAACACAGGTTCATAAGATCATTTTGTATTTCAATTAACATAAAATACAATATTCACAACCTTTTGTATAGTGTATACAGACTGGCAGTATAATATACACTGTGAGAGCTTAAGATTTACTGAAGTTGGCTATTACAGGATGTATACACTGAGGTGTATATCTGTGTATATACACTTGAGAGGAGTATATCTCAGTGTATTTTACACTGGTCATTTACTGGTGGTGTACAGGTGACCTGCAGCCTTAATGACCCTGGTGTAGTAGATAGACTTTAAACCCCATTAACTAACCAACCAGTCTTAATGACTCTCGTGAAGTAGATAGACTTTAAACCCCATTAACCACTAAGAACTTCAACCACCTTCACACATTCCAT